AAGGGGGATCTGTGGGGAGCAACCCGGACTAGACTAAGTTACTGGAATTAAGACTTATTCTATGCATCTGCTCTCCCACAATATGGCGCTGGGAGAGAAGAAAACAGCTTCTACACAGCTGCCTCCAGTTCAGCCAATAAGCTGTAGGACTTGCTCCTGATTGGAGGAGAGCAGCGTACTCGGCGTGTGGGCAGCCGAGTTGGGATTGGCAGAGGAGGACTATAAAGGAGGAGAGAGACGGCATGCACCAGGAACATCTAAGGGGAACATCTGAGGGAACACCTGTGCAGCCCCCGAGAGAGCTGGCCGGCGGTGTGCCGCTCCCCTGCGGAAGTGGGGAATGTGGCCAGGGGGAACTGCCCTTCCACGGAGGTGGAAGGGACAGTAGCCAACCCGGGAAGAACCAGCAGCAAACCCGGGGAGGGCCGAGCAGACGAAAGAACAGCGCAGGGTCCTGTGTCGTTCCTCCACGAAGAGGGGGAGCGACAGTGGCCATCAGGGGAGTGAACCAGCCAATGGAAGATTTTCTCTCTCTCTCTCTCTTTCCCTCCCTCCCTCCCTCCCTCTCCCCCCTTCTCTTCTGTAACTCTTTCAAAATAAATAATTAAATCTTTAAAAACCAAAAAAGGTAAATTCCACGTGGGTAAAGGCCTCCATGTGAAGCAAGGTTCTCACTTAGTGAAAATGTAGAAAACACCTTTATAACAAGAAAGGCCAAGATTTCTCAGGGCATAAAAATACAAACCATCATCAGCACATGCGACAACATTAACATTTAAAAAACACCTGTATGGTCAATGGACAATGTCAAAAGAACAAACCTTAGACTAAGAGGAAATATGCGCTATGTATATAATTAACAAATAATTGATGTCCAAGATGAGGAACTCCAATAGAAAAAGACATAATAGGAAAACAGGCAAAGTGTAGGTATTAATTTGGCTGTCATTACAAAACACCAAATACTGTGGCTTAACCAATAGAAATGTGTCTGGCAGGGTTGCTTCTCCCAAGGCCTCGCCTGCCTTGGCTTGCGTGTGGCCACTTTCTTGCTGTGTCCCTACATGCTTTTTCTTATTTATTTATTTAATTATTTATTTTTTGACAGGCGGAGTGGACAGTGAGAGAGAGACAGAGAGAAAGGTCTTCCTTTTGCCATTGGTTCACCCTCCAACGGCCATTGCGGCCGGGGCGCTGCAGCCGGCGCACCGTGCTGATCCGAAGGCAGGAGCCAGGTGCTTCTCCTGATCTCCCATGCGGGTTCAGGGCCCAAGCACTTGGGCCATCCTCCACTGCACTCATAACAGAGAGCTGGCCTGGAAGAGGGGCAACCGGGACAGAATCCGGCGCCCCAACCGGGACTAGACCTACATGCCTTTTCTATGTGCACCTGCCTTGTATCTCTTCCTCTTTTGAGATCGGTCTTACTGCATTAGGGACTATACTTATGGCCACATTTAACTTCAGTTACTGCTTTAAAAGCCCTGTCTCCAAATACAGTCATTTCTAAGATGTGGGGTTTAGGGCTTCAACAGATGAATTTGGAGGGGACACAGTTCAGTCCGTAACAGAGTGTGAGACAGATTGTATACTTGTGTAACAGGCAAATTTCAGGAAAGAAACCTGCAGTACCATTAGGTCTGGATTAAAAAGATGACCATAAAGTACAATTTCATGTATGTCAGTTTGACATGTTTGGGAGGAATGAAGAGCAAAAAAACTATTTTGCTACTGGTGGAAGTATAAATTGGTACAGTGTTTGGAGAATAATTTTATACTATCTATTGAAGATAGGCATTTTCTAAGATTTATTTATTTGAGAGGTAGAGTTACAGAGAGAGGGAGATACAGAAAGAAAGGTCTTTCCTTCCACTGGTACACTCCCCAAATAACCACAACGACCAGAGCTGAGCTGATCCGAAGCCAGGAGCTTCCTCCAGGTCTTCCCTGAAAGTGCAGGACCCAGGTGCTTGGGCCATCTTCACCATCTTCTGCTTTCCCAGGCCCTAGCAGAGAGCTGGATCAGAAGAAGAGCAGCTGGGACTAGAACCGGTGTCCATATGGAATGCTGGCACTGTAGGTGGAGGGTTAACCTACTGCACCTTAATACTGGCCAGAAAATAGGCATTTTCTATAATCCAGCAATTCCACTTCTAGATACACACACAGTAGCCTAGACAAAAATTCTTACATTGATTCACATGAAACATGAAAAAGCATGTTTCCTACAATATGTTTGTAACAGCAAAATAAGCAACTTAAGGGGCTGGTGGTAACGCCGCTGCCTGCAGTGCTGGCATCCCATATGGGCGCCAGTTCGAGACATGGCTGCTCGATTTCCAATCCAGCTCTCTGCTATAACCTGGGAAAGCAGTAGAAGATGGCCCAAGTGCTTGGGCCCTTGCAGCAGCATGGGAGACCCAGAAGAAGCTCCTGGCTCCTGGCTTCGGATCTGCACAGCTCTGACATTTGCGGCCATGTGGGGAGTGAACCAGTGGATCGAAGACTCTCTCTCTCTCTGCATCTGCCTCTGTAAGTCTTTCAAATAAATAAATAAATCTTAAAAAAAAAAGCAAGTTAAATAGTCAACAAAGAGGGACTAACGTGTAATCTTCAGTAAAGTGAAGTGCATCTTTATGTCTTCACATGGCTAAGTCTTAAAGATTTTGAGCGAAAGGGGCTGGCGCTGTGGTACAGCAGGTTAACGCCCTGGCCGGCAGCACCGGCATCCCATATGGGCGTCCATTCAAGACCCAGTTGGTTCACTTCCCATCCAGCTCCCTGCTATGGCCTGGGAAAGCAGTGGAGGATGGCCCAAGTCCTTCAGACCCTGCACCTGTGTGGGAGACCTGGAAGAATCTCCTGGCTCCTGGCTTCAGATCAGCACAGCTCCAGCCATTGCAGCCAACTGGGAAGTGAACCAGCTGATAGAAGACCTCTCTCCTCTCTCTCTCTCTCTCTCTCTCTCTGCCTCTTCTCTCTTTGTGTAACTCTGACTTTCAAAGAAATAAATAAATTTAAAAAAAATTTTTTTGAGTGAAAAGGGCCGGTGCTGTGGCACAGCAGGTTAACACCCTGGCCTGAAGCACTGGCATCCCACATGGGTGCCCATTCAAGACCCAGCTGCTCCATTTCTGATCCAGCTCTCTGCTATGGTCTGAGAAAGCAGTAGAAGGCAGCCCAAGTCCTTGGACCCCTGCACCCGTGTGGGAGACCCGGAAGAAGCTTCTGGCTCCTGGCTTCAGATCGGCACAGCTCCGGTTGTTGCAGCCAACTGGGAAGTGAACCATCGGATGGAAGACCCCTCTCTCTCCCTCTCTCTGCCTCTCCTCTCTCTGTGTAACTCTGACTTTCAAATAAATAAATAAATCTTTGGGGAAAAAAAAACTGGTATGGAAAGAATTTTTAAAAAAATTTTGAGTGAAATAAAAAGTTTGGGCCGGTGCCGCGGCTTGCTAGGCTAATCCTCCACCTGCAGCGCCGGCACCCCGGGTTCTAGTCCTGATTGGGGTGCCAGATTTTGTTCCGATTGCTCCTCTTCCAGGCCAGCTCTCTGCTGTGGCCCGGGAGTGCAGTGGAGGATGGCCCAAGTGCTTGGATCCCTGCACCCCATGGGAGACCAGGAAAAGCACCTGGCTCCTGGCTTCGGATCTGCACAGCTTGCCGGCCATGGTGGCCATTTGGGGGGGTGAACCAATGGAAGGAAGACCTTTCTCTCTGTCTCTTTCTCTTACTGTCTAACTCTGCCTGTCCAAAAAGAAATAAAAAGTTTGCATTTTGAGTAAATAGTGCTGGCTATGTAATATTTTAAAGCAGTACCATAAAGCAGTACCATGTGGTCATAGTTCACCTTGGGTACTGCTGGGCATTTTGAAACTTTTTTTTTTTTAAAGATTATTTGCTTGAAAGGCAGCTACGCAGTGGGGGAGAGAGATACTTTTCATCTGCTGGTTCATCTCCAAATGGCTGGAGCCAATCCAAAGCCAGAGATCTGGAACTCCAGTTGGTCTCCCACATGAGTAAATGGGGCCCAAATACTTGGGCCATCTTCTGCTGCTTTCCCAGGCACATTATTAGCAGGGAGCTGGATTAGAAGTGGAGCAGCCGGGACTTAAACTGGTACCCACAGAGGATGCTGGCATTGCAGGCTGCAGCTTAACTGGACACATTTTGAGATTTGAGAGAAGCAACCACACTAGACATCTGTCAGACCCTACAGCTTCCAGTTCAAGTGGCTCACTATTTCAGTAATCCCTACTGCAGTCCTTTCTAGGAGGGCTGGTTTGCAAAGCTAGGTTTTTAGAGGTTGCTCTGATAAACAATGAATACTGTGTGAAAATCAGTGTGGACTTGGGAGTGAGGGTGGTGATATATAGTATAATACCAAAGTTTAAGGCGCTGTCCAAATTCATTTTCTCACATTTGTTTTCATCTGAATTTTTGATACACGTTAACTCCGGGTAATTTGTCACATTGAGGAAAGGTGTAGTGTAGCAGTTAGAAGAGTGTTTTCAGATCTCAGCTACAATGCTTAGCAACTCTGTCACATTAGGCAATGACTGAATCTTTCTCATTCCTCAGTTTCTGTATCTGTATAAAAGGAATAACAACAAAACCAATACCATAGAGTCGTGAGATTGAACAAGGCTGATGTGTGTTTACTCTTATATTCTGGTTTTGTATCCCTTTGAAACATTTTATAATCGCCGCATCTAAAAAACACAGTCCAATGTTAGACTTTTGAAGATATATTTGAATTTGTTGTACTGGTGTTTCACCAGAATGGTGTATAGCAAACTGTCCTGTAGTAGGGGACTTCTTTCCCTCGTGTCGAAAATTGCTTTGTGGTGTTTGCCAGCACAAAGCCATCCTGAAATCCCTCCAGCAAATAAGGTTGAAATAATTCATGCTTCTTAAGAGGCTGCAAGTTTATTTCATAACTGTAACTATTACCACATAAATCTGTAGTCAGCTCATTCTTCTTTCTCATTTTATTTAAGGCAGTCACACTGGAGGTTGTTACTCGGAGAATGAGCAAGTCCAGCCAGTTGATACCAGCAGTTTTCCCCTGGAACAGCGTGATCCCCTCCGTGAGGTTCACTGGGCAGAGGTAGCAAATGAGAAGATGAGGACATGTCAGCATCTGACAGAAGGCTTTTCTGATGCCAACAAGCCAGACCTGCAAAGCCATGAGTATACGTACGTAGAAGAGATTTCTATAAAGCAAGACTCATTTGAGGAAGAAAACCCAGTGGAAACTAGCCTTTCTACAGATAATGACCCATTTGCTAATGAGTGTGTCAGACAATCTCCCAGCAGCCCAGCTCTGATCTACTGCAGTGGAGAGACCTGGGACTTCACAGAAAAGTCCCTGGCTGCCTGTACTGCCAGGGAATCTGCCCTCCTCCATCCTCCACCTCAGAGCTGCTTCTGTGAAGATGACGTACCCTATAATGTTGAGAAACCGTCTTACAAGGGTAGTTTTAGCCGGTGTGATCTGAGAGCCAATGATAAAACACAGGAGGTAAGATGGTTGATGGTCACTGTTAGTTGTGGACCACTAAGAGATGTGTTGCCTTTTACATGAAAATCATACATGAACACAATCCAAGACTTCCAAGTAGCACTAAATTCTAATCAGTTTGCTCCTCTGGGCAAAATGTATTCTGGGGTCTTAATTCAAGTAGATTTTCCTGATAAAATCAAATCCACACCTAGTGGTTGGCACTACCAAATGATAGTTTCTGTTTGCAGATCAGAACTCTTACTCATCCTTTGGTGGTCCATAGCATCCACATGGCACCTTGCACTTTTTTTAAAAGATTTTATTTATTTTTATTTATTTGACAGAGTTAGACAGTGAGAGAGAGATAGAGAGAAAGGTCTTCCTTCCGTTAGTTCACCCCCAAAATGGCCGCTACGGCCGGAGCTACACCAATCCGAAGCCAGGAACCAGGTGCCTCTTCCTGGTCTCCCATGCAGGTGCAGGGCCCAAGCACTTGGGCCATCCTCCACTGCCCTCCTGGGCCACAGCAGAGAGCTGGACTGGAAGAGGGGCAACCGGGACTGGAATCTGGCGCCCGTATGGGATGCCGGTGCCGCAGGCAGAGGATTAACCTAGTGAGCCACAGCGCCGACCCTGGGACCTTGCACTTATTTGTTCACTCCAAGTGGCTGGAACTCATGGAGTGTCTAGGAAAGGAAGGATTGAACAGGAGTGCAGAGGGTGGTGGTGATTAAATTATGAGACAGGAAAATACTAAAATTTTTCTATGTTGGACTTTTGTTGACAAGCAAAGAATGCTAATTTTTTTTTAAATTTATTTTTTAATATTTACTTACTTGTTTGAAAGGCAGAGTTAGAGAAGGAGAGACAGAGAGGGGTCAGTCCATCTGCTGGTTCACTCCCCAAATGGCCACAACAGTCAGAGCTGGGCCAGACTGAAGCCAGGAACCAGGAGTGGCTTCTGGTTCTCCCACATGGGTGGAGGGGCCGAAGCACTTGAGCCATCTTCTGCTGCTTTCCTTGGCACATTAGCAGGGAGCTGGATAGGAGGTACAGCAGCCAAGACTCAAATCAATGCCTATGGGGTGCCGGCATTGCAGATGGCGCCTTAACCTGTTATGCCACAGCACTGGCCCCTCAAATTGTATTTTAATTTAATGATTCTGGTTACATATGTAGTATCCTAAGAGCAGCAAATATACTAACAGTATAAATTCTGGGTGGTCTGAGCAAAAACAGAAAAGTTCTAAGAATTGGTATGATTGAACAGGTAGAATCTAAGAATGGTATAAGTGATACTTTTTTAATGTGTATTTAATAAGAAAATTTCTGCCTCTTATGTTTTACTTACAGTTATGAGAAGTTTTTCTGTTCATTTATGAGGGGGCTTCAAAAAGTTTATGGAAAGTACAGCTAATAGATAAGTTTATTTTCTTGCAAAGATATTTTAAAATCCATGCATATAAAGGCTGTTCAGAAAGTTCAGATACCTTGCATTTGGAAATAGACGGCAGTATTAAAAAGAGAGCTTTAAGGACTGGATTGTGGTACAGCAGGTTAAGCCTGCACTTGGGCACGTGCATCCCTTATTGAAGTGTCTGGGACAGAATCCTGACTCTGCTTTTACCCAGCTTCCTGCTAATACGCACCCTGGCATACAGCAGATGATGGCACAGGATGTGGGTTCCTGACACCCATGTGGGAGACTCGGATGGAGTTCCTGACTCCTGGTTTCACCCTGGCTCAGCCTTAGCTGTTGTGGGCATTTGGGGGGTGAGCCAATGAATGGAAACTCACTCACTCTCTCTGGAATAAAGAAAAATAAGTAAATTACCTTTAAAAAGAGAGAAATAACCTTATTTCCTCATGTTGATGTGTGGAAAACAGCAGTTTAAAAATCAGCTTGGGAGTGGACAGGTGGCACAGGGGTTAAGCTGTTGCTTGGGACTCCCAGACCCATATCAGAGTGCCTGGATTTGAGTCCCGGGTCTGCTTTCCAGCCTAGCTTCCTGCTGATGCACACCCCGGGAGGCAGCAGATCATGGCTCAAGTGCTTCCTACTTTGCCACCCTCTTGAGAGACCTGATGGAGTTCCCGGCTCCTGGCTTCACCCTGACCCAGCCCTAGCTTGCGCGGACATTGGAGGAGTGAACTATCAGAGGGGAGATCTCTTTTTGTGTCTCTATGCCTTTAAACAAAGAAAATCTTAAAATCTAGGGGCAGGCTCTGTGGTGTAGTAGGCTAAGCTCCTGGCTCCTGGCTTCAGTGGACTTAGCCCCGGCCACTGCGGCCATTTTGGGAGTGAAGCAGCAGATGGAAAACTTTCCTCTCTGTCTCTCCCTCTCCGTGTCTGTAACTCTACCCCTCAAATAAATAAATCTTTAAAAAATTTTTAAAATCTGCCTAATTGGGGTTTCCCAAGACGCCCTTCCACTTCCATTGCATTTAGTCATGTTTTTTCAGTCAGTAGATACTTCCAGGCATCTATTAGCTACCAGACGTTGTGCTATGGGTTGGTTATATAATGGTTAAAAACAAATAAAAAACATGGTTCTTGGTCTCATGAAAACAACATCCCAGCAGGGGAGATAGATATTAATCAAACAATACCACAAAATGTGAACTCAGAGCTCGGACAGTGCTGTAAATAGAAGTAGAATGGGTGTCTGTGACGAGGACACTGCCCCTGGTCAGGGCATCTGGGGAGGCTTCCTTGAAGAACTGGTCATTGAGTTGAGCCGTAAAGGATGAACAGGAGTTAATTAGGCAGCCATGGTGGAAGAAGCTTCCATGCAGAATAAACAACATCTGCAAAACCTGCAGGTGCAGGGAGCATAGGACTGAAGGAAGCCCAGTGTCCAGGGAGCCTGGGAGGAGGGAGCAGGAGGTGGAGTGGATGACGATGGAGAGGTGGCAGGGGTCAGATGTCAGGGCCTTGTTGGCCTCGGTAAGGATGACTGCCTCCATCCTAGAACAGTGCAATGTTAAAATGAGGGGCCCAATCTAAATTCTGGAGACACCATACAGTACAGCCTCCCGCTATAGGAATCCCTCGCTATATTTTTGATAACATACTCTTTCAGTGGCTCTCATAATTAACTGCCCTTTATCAAGTTACCCTCAAAACCTGTTCTGTGGGCATGAAGTCAATCATGAGACCTGTTTTTCTGCCATTCTGGCGTTCAAAGGAGTCATGGCATACAGAAGTAATGATCTAAGTGAGGAATTTCACATTTTTATTCAGAAGAGACCTTGAAGTCTGTAGGGTGACTGATACATGTATTTGTTGAAATTCATTTGAAGTCAAAGAAAATGTTTCCTGTGTGTTCACAAAAATGTGTGATAGATGATGACAGCAGTAAAGTTTAATTGTTCTTTTTTTTTTTTTTTTTTGTACTCTTAAGATTCATTCATTTATTTGAAAGGCAGAGTTACAAAAAGACAGGGAAAGAGAGAGAGAGAGAGAGAGAGAGGACTATCTGCTGGATCCATGTTCCAGTAGCCACAATGGCCAGGCCTGGCTGAAGCCAGAAGCCTAGAACTCCATCTGGATCTCCCATGTGGGTGAAGAGGCCCAAGTACTTGGGCCATCCTCTGCTGCTTTCCCAGGTGCATTAGCGGGGACTTGAACCAGCATTCCAACCTGGAATGCCAGTATCGAAGGCAGTGGCTTAACCCACTGTGCCACAACACCAGCCCCTAATTTTTGTTTTCTTTCTTTCTCTCTTTCTCTCTTTCTCTCTTTCTCTCTTTCTCTCTTTCTCTCTCTCTTTCTTTCCTTCTTCTTTCCTTCTTTCCTTCTTTCTTTCCTTCTTTCCTTCTTTCTTTCCTTCTCTTTCTTTCTTTCTTTCTTTCTTTCTTTCTTTCTTTCTTTCTTTCTTTCTTTCTTTCTTTCTTTCCTTCCTTCCTTCCTTCCTTCCTTCCTTCCTTCCTTCCTTCCCTCCCTCCCTCCCTCTTTCTTTCTTTCTTTCTTTCCTTCCTTCCTTCCTTCCTTCCTTCCTTCCTTCCTTCCTTCCTTCCTTCCTTCCTTCCTTCTTTCTTTCTTAAAAGATTTTATTCATTTGAAAGGCAGAGTTAGAGAGAGAGCAAGATCTTCCATCTGCTGGTTCACTCCCCAAATGGCCACAATGGTCAGGGCTGGGCTGAGCCAAAGTCAGGAGCTGGGAGCTTCATCCTGGTCTCCCACTTGGGTGCAGGGGCCCAAGGACTTCTGCTGCTTTTCTGAGCACACTATCAGGGAGCTGGATCTGAAGCAGAGAAGTCAGGACTCAAACCAGTGCCGGCGCTGCAGTTGGTGGCTTAATTCACTGTGCCACAGCAGCTGCCCCAGCCCCTAGTTTTTCTTTTGTCACACTGAACGTGATATATGTTTTATAATACACTTACTGTTTGTGCTCTGCTGTGCTGGTAGGTGCTGTGCCTACACTCAGCAGTTCTTAGGGATTAAATTCTGTGAAGTGATTACTTTTGGAAGTAGGTATTTTTACTGTATAGCTGAGAAGCCAAACTAGGAACCTAGAATTCAAGGCCAGCTGTAGCAGGTAAAGCCACCACCTGCAGTACCAGCATCTCATATAGGTTCGAGCGTCAGCTGCTCCACTTCCAATCCAACTCTGCTATGGCCTGGGAAAGCAGTGGAAGATGGCCCAAGTCCTTCAGCCCCTGCACCCATGTGGGAGACCCGGAAGAAGCTCCTGGCTTCTGGCTTCGGATCAGCTCAGCTCTGGCCATTGTGGTCACTTGGGGAGTGAACCAGCGGATGGAAGACCTCTCTCTTTCTCTGGCTCTACCTCTTTCTGTGACTCTGTCTTTCAAATAAATAAATAAACCTTAAAAAACATAATTTAGGCCAGCTCCACCTGACTCCGAAGTTCATGATCTTTTTTGTTTATTTAATTTACAGACTGAAGTTGCTTCAAAAGAAATACAGAACTTTGGGGAGATTTCTGAGACGTCAGTCCATCCCCAAGAGGAAGTCACAGTGGAGAGCATGGGGAGTCCCGAGATTGCGTCAACCTGGCGCCCAGCAGACGTCTCCTGGAGTGACGGAGCAGCTCGGCAGAAATGCAGGACGCCAGACAAGGAGCAGAGCTTCGAGAGCCTGCAGCCCCTGGAAGAGGACATGGCTCTAAACGAAGTGTTAAAGAAACTGAAACACACCAACAGAAGGCAGCAGATGCGGATCCAAGACCTCCAGTGTAGTAACCTGTACTTGGAGAAGAAGGTCAGAGAATTACAGGGGAAGACTGCTAAGCAGCAGGGGTTTGTGGACATCATAAATAAGCTGAAGGGCCATATTGAAGAATTAATCGAAGACAAATACAACATAATCCTAGAGAAGAACGAGGCTGACAGGACACTGCAGAATTTGCGAGAGACTTTAGCTGACGCGCAAAGACACCTTCAGGAATCCAGGAAAGAGAAGGAAGCTTTGCAGCTTGAAGTCAGAAAGATCAAGGTGAGTTTCATTCGCCTACAGGAAAGCTACGTTACTGAAATGCAGCAAAGAAGTGTATCTGTCAATCAGTGGACACAGACGGACAGAGTCTTCGGCATCAAAGAAGAAGGAGTCCAGAGGTTGCCTCGGCCCAGAGGAGGACTGGAAGAGGTCACCCCCTCTGCCTTGGACCTGTTGAAAAAGGAAAAAGATACCCAAGAATTAGAGTTCTTGGCTTTACAGGAGGAATTCCAGAAACACGAAAAGAAAAACATGGAAGAAAGACAGAAATTGAAATCTAGACTTCAGAAATCGGTTACTCAAGTTAAAAATTTGCAATTCATGTGGGAAAATGAAAGGGCTAAGAATACAGATCTTCAGCAGCAGGTGGACGAAGTGAAAAGTGAGAATGCGAAACTGCAGCAGCAGGTGGCGAGGAGCCAGGAGCAAAACCGGGTCCCTAACTACGAGGTGGCTCAGCTGGAGGAGCAGCTGGAGGAAGTCATGGAACCAGGTGTCACCAAGGTATTGACGCAGAGTCTCTGCTAATGGTCTCTGCGTATTTGGACCTAACACTTCAGTGGAATTGTTTGCAGAAAAACTTACTAATTTGAAAAGGAGGTATATACAGGAAGGAAAATGCGCCAGAGGCTCGGACGAGTTTTCATTCTTGGGCACTCCTGTCAAACAACACCCATCCCTGGTTTCTTGGGTCTATTTTGATACAGGGGATAGTTAACCTGGGTACTTCTTTTTTTTTTTTTTAAGATTTATTTATTTATTTGAAAGCTGGAGTTATACAGAGAGAGAAGGAGAGGCTGGTTCGCTCCCCAGGGCTTGAACCAGCGCCCATATGGGATGCTGGCGCTGCCGGCAGCTGCTTTACCTGCTATGCCACACGCCAGCCCCACCCTGGGTACTTCTAAAAGTTACCTTTGAAAAATGGTCTTCTAAGTATAGCTCTCAATCTATTGAACAATGACACTTAATAATAGAATTGCATCCTTATGGTTTGAATTAGGGTAGAATGTGCCTTAGCTCCGTGTTCCAGTTGTCTGTGAATCTGCCACGCCTTCTCAGTTCTGCAGGAACAACTCCCAAGAGTCTCGTGGCCCTGGAGGAGGCGAATGATAGCAGAGTTGCCTTACGCATCCAGCAGCAACACAAGCATAGACCTTAATTTTTATGGGTTTTGTCAAATGTTTTTGAAGATTAAATAATTCAAGGCATACCTCTGCCACTTAAGTGTTTTCAATAATCGGAATTGGTGCTTTCTGCCAAATATTAACTTGGAATTTTTGTTTCAGCTTTATTCCCTGGGAAGGGCGCTTCACGGTTAGAGTGCGGCCAGAGAAGGCAGTGTGGAATGAAATGATCATTCTTTTTTTTTTTTTTTTTTTTTTTTTTTGACAGGCAGAGTGGACAGTGAGAGAGAGAGAGAGAGAGAGAGAGAGAGAGAAAGGTCTTCCTTTTGCCGTTGGTTCACCCTCCAATGGCCGCCGCGGCCGGCGCGCTGCGGCCGGCGCACCGCGTTGATCCGGTGGCAGGAGCCAGGAGCCAGGTGCTTTTCCTGGTCTCCCATGGGGTGCAGGGCCCAAGCACTTGGGCCATCCTCCACTGCACTCCCTGGCCACAGCAGAGAGCTGGCCTGGAAGAGGGGCAACCGGGACAGAACCCGGCGCCCCGACCGGGACTAGAACCCGGTGTGCCGGCGCCGCAAGGCGGAGGATTAGCCTAGTGAGCCACAGCACCGGCCAATCATTCGTTTTTGTTTTGCTTTCCTAGCAATTACATTGGTGTGACATAAAGAAGGTCCTCTGGTCTCATGTTGGGGCTGTTTAGGGAAGTCGTTGCTCAGTCATTGGCAGTGTGTGGTTTAAAGAAGGAAGTAGCATCACCTTAGTTCCTTGGTCTTCAGCAGAAATCTCCTGCCCTGTAGCTTTTTTTGTAAAAGGAGATGGCTAAATCTTAACTTTTAATGTATACCCAAATATTTGTATTTATGCTTTTGATAAAATATATTTTCAGCATTAATACATATATCAATTATGCCTTATTTATTTGAAGAATAAAGTTACCAACTTATGCTATTATGTCCTGAAACTCAGATCAGTATTTTTTTTTAAATGGGATGTGGGCATCTTTTTTTTTTTTTATTTGAATGTCAGAGTTACACAGAAAGAGGAGAGGCAGAGAGAGAGAGAGGTCTCCCATCAGATGGTTCACTCCCCAGTTGGCCGCAACGGCCGGAGCTGTGCCGATCCGAAGCTAGGAGCCAGGAGCTTCTTCCAGGACCCCCACGCGGGTGCAGGGGCCCAAGGATCTGGGCCATCTTCCACTGCCTTCCCAGGCCATAGCAGAGAGCTGGATAGGAAGTGCAGTAGTCAGGTCTTGAACCAGTGCCCATATGGGATGCCGACGCTTCAGGCCAGGGTGTTAACCTGCTGCGCCACAGCGCCAGCCCCCAGGTCAGTATTTGAGAAACCTTCAAATTGGTGCTCTCATTATAAAATGATACATTTAGACAAAACCTCAAACCAAGCCATTTGAATTAGGATTCTCTCCATTGCAATTTGTAGCTATGTTATTTCTCTATGTGTAATGGGAAGGCTGAATATCAGTGTTATCAGCTTGGGGCACCTCCATTCCATATCAGAGTGCTTGGGATCAAGTCTTGCCTCCGCTCTCTATCAAACTTCCTGCTAATGCACTTGAGAGGCAGCAAGTTATACTTCAAGTACTATATATATGTAGTTCAAGTTCAGCCACCACATGGTAGACCCAGGTAGAATTCTTGGCTCTTGTGGTTTCAACCTGGCTTCAGCCTGGCCCAGCTCTGGCTGCTGCAGGCATCTGGACATGAACCACTGCATGGAAGATTAATTCATTCTTTTTCTCTCTTTCTTTCTCTCTCTGACACTCTGCCTTACAAGTAAGTACAACTTTCTAAAAGGACTTCTTTGGCAGCCAGGAACCTGTATACATGTCCAAGAAGGTGTCACTTCTCTCAATTCAGAGCACACCTATCTCAGTTTTGTAGGACTGCCTTAAAGTATCTAATTTTTTTTTTTTATTTGACAGGTAGAGTTATAGACAGTGAGAGAGAGACAGAGAGAAAGGTCTTCCTTCTGTTGGTTCACTCCCCAAATGGCCGCTATGGCTGGCACTGCACTGATCCGAAGCCAGGAGCCAGGTGCTTCCTCCCAGTCTCCCATGCGGGTGCAGGGACCCAAGCACTTGGGCCATCCTCCACTGCCTTCCCAGGCCACAGCAGAGAGCTGGACTGGAAGAGGAGCAACCGGGACTAGCACCCGGCGCCCCAACTGGGACTAGAACCTGGGGTGCCGGTGCCGCAGGCGGAGGATTAGCCAAGTGAGCCATGGCACCGGCCAGTATGTAAAATCTTAGACTGCTTAGAAAGAAGGCTAATCTGAACTAGAAAAATGTGTAAGCTTTTTATATTTGTTGTAATAATTGAACTGAGTTGGTGTTTCCTTGAACTCTGATGACTCTGTGACAGTATAAGTATTTGCAAGTAATTCTATTATTTTTCAGGATTCCTGGGAAAATATTATTCTCTCTGTTTTAAAAGTTCTAAGATCTCTCCAAGACTTCAGAAAGTATTATGTGGCCGGTGGGCACTGTGGCTCACTAGGCTAATCCTCCACCTGCGATGCCAGTACTCCGGGTTCTAGTCCTGGTCGGGGCACCGGATTCTGTCCTGGTTGCTCCTCTTCCAGTCCAGCTCTCTTCTGTGGCCCGGGAGTGCAGTGGAGGATGGCCCAAGTGCTTGGGCCCTACACCCCATGGGAGACCAGGAGAAGCACCTGGCTCCTGGCTTTGGATCAGCGTGGTGCGCCAGCCGCAGTGGCCAATGGGGGCTGAACCAATGGAAGGAGGACCTTTCTCTCTGTCTCTCTCTCTCTCACTGTCCACTCTGCCTGTCAAAAAAAAAAAAAAAAACTATTATATACATGGCACAGTAGGTTAAGCATCCTCCTGCCGTGCTGGCATCCCATTTGGGTGCTCGTATCCCATGGGGCACCAGTTTGAGTCACCGATGGTCTACTTCTGATCCAGCTCCCTGCTGATGGCCTGGGAAAGCAGCAGAAGATGGCCCAAGTGCTTGGGTTCCTGCCACCCACCTGGGAGACCTGAAAGAAGGTCCTGGCTCCTGGCTTCAGATTGGCCCAGCTCCAGCTGTTGCGGCCATTTGGGTAGTGAATGAGTGGATGGAAGACCTCTGCCTCTCCCTTCCTCTGTAACTTTTCCTCTCAACTAAATAAATAAATCTTAAAAAAAAAAAAAAAAAGGAAAGATATAAAACCATAGTTCTCGGCCGGCGCTGTGGCTCAATAGGCTAATCCTCTGCCTTGCGGCGCCAGCACACCAGGTTCTAGCCCCAGTTGGGGCGCCGGATTCTGTCCTGGTTGCCCCTCTTCCAGGCCAGCTCTCTGCTATGGCCCGGGAGTGCAGTGGAGGATGGCCCAAGTGCTTGGGCCCTGCACCCCATGGGAGACCAGGAGAAGCACCTGGCTCCTGGCTTCTGATCAGTGCGGTGCGCCAGCTGCAGTGGCCATTGGAGAGTGAACCAATGGTAAAGGAAGACCTTTCTCTCTGTCTCTCTCTCTCTCACTGTCCACTCTGCCTGTCAAAAAACAAACAAAACAAAAAACCATAGTTCTCAAATTTGGACATATTTGGAGGAGAGCTTGTTAAACCATAGATTGGGGCAGGCATTTGGGCTAGTGTTTAAGATACTGCTAAGGATATCCATATCAGAAGGCTGGGTTTGCTCCTCAGCTCTGGCTCCAGAGTCCAGTTTCTTGCTGCTAATGCAGACCCTAGGAGACAACAAAAATGGCTCAACTAATTGGGTTCCTGCCAGCCATGCGGGAGACCCAGATGGAACTCTTGGCTCCTTGCTTTGGCCCTGACTCCACTAGCTATTGCAGGCATTTGGAAAGAGAATCCAGCTGTCTTTTTTTTTTTTTTTTTT